GTTACATATAATTTAAAAATCACATATAAATAAATGGAAATGAATGTACCGTGCACTGAGAGGACGTCCAGCATATTGTTCAGGAGTAAGTACATAGTGTTGTGGAGCAATTGTAGGAAACCTATCCCACGCCCATACTTGTAAAAGTATCAACGGACCTGCTATATCCAGGGCATCAGCTCGACTAGCCCGACAGAGTTCTCAATATAACCATGCGAGACATGCACTACCCCATGAATATCGTCCAGCTTCCTCGAAATCAGTCAGTAGCGGAAGGAATATGAGATGAACTAATGTGTTAGATTTATCGTGAAATAAAAATCCACCGATGAGCTGCATAATATATGCTCGTGCGTACTCTGTATCGTAACCTCATCATCATCTTGTGGTAATTCAATGAATTGTGCCGCTAGCCAAGGAATACTCAACCTAGATCCTTTAAGTTGAGGAGGTCGTACTCCTAGTAGGTCCTCACATAACTGGGCCCAATCGTATTGCAAGGATCCTGTAATGGGTTCTCCATCAATAGGTAGCCCTAACTGCACAACAACATCTTGTAGTGTAATAGTACACTCTCCACCAGGCATGTGAAACGAGTGAGTTTCCTGCCTCTATCGCTCCACCAGTGCAGTAATAAGATGTCAATCTAACTGAGTAAAGCCTATCTGTGAAACCCCCCAAAATCCAGACTGTTGTAGATATGACACTATACTTATCTAGCCTAATGTTATGATATACTACGGCCTCTCTTCTTCGACATTGCAAAACTATGGTAGATCCATCATCCCACAATAATTGTGAACGATGTGATCGTTGTAAGTATAGCTGATGCGAATGCAAAGGTCCTGGATCCATAATTAATGCTGAAATATAATAAGACAAATAACACAATTATAATCAAAGTTCATTGCAAATAACATGACATAAAGTATAGTACATTACAATTCCAAATATCTAACTATTACAAAGCAAAAAATGATTCAATAAAGCATAGTGTATTACAAAGCACGAATCCGGGTAAGTGATAAAATATAAGGTGTTACAAAGCAACAATCCCACACTAATTGAGAACGATGTCACCGCATATGCTTCAACCTGTACATAGAAAATATAGAATTGATTTCAATATTAATAGGTTTGTAACAGTATGTTAAAAAAATGATTAAAGAAATCCACCTTAATCACCCATTTGTCTCGAAGATGAAGCGCCAGAGTTGCGAGTTGGACATGTACGTTTGTTATGTCCTTCTTTTTTGCATATTCCACAATGAACTTTCGTACCCGTCTCCCGCCAATCCATCTCATTGTGAATGCGAGAAGTTTTTGGGCGTCCATGTTCCCTCAACAAATTTGAGTTCGGATGAATAACATCAAACTTCACTTCCGGCCAATAGTCCCTATGTTGTATAGGGTAGAATCGAGATGCATAGCAAAGTTGGTACCGTGACAATTAGTAATACTTCTCGACATAAGACAAATATGGCAAGTGAACATGATTGCAGACTGCAATTACATGAGAACACGGTATCTTGAAAGATTGCCACTTGTTACAAGTACATGTATTGTCTTTCAAGCAAACTACTTGAGTATGTTGGCATTTGAAAGGAGAGAACATATCTATTTCTGTTTCGATTTGAAAAGTTTGTGTCTCTCGATCAATAGAAGTCACTGAATGTGC